AGAGGGGATACAGGGATGCACCCAATCCCTCTCATTTTAGAGGTCTTCCTTTACTCCCAGTTCCAGAGGAATCTGGTGTTATCCATTTGGGAGTCTTTTGAAGATTCCAAGGTGTAAATCAGGTTTTCTCAGTTTCCTCCAGTGATAACTTGGGATTTTCATGTTTCTTGAGTTGTTTTTGTCAGTTACATATCATCAATATGCTTTGTAGCTTCCAAACTTTTATTGCTGTTGTCTCCTCCCCTAATTTCCCCATATTTGTTAGTTTATGTCTTTAAAAAACCAAAACACTTTATTGTAAATTTAATGTGATTTTAGGCGGGAATGAAATTGGAAGTGTGTGTGTGTGCACGTGTGCGTACTTGCATGCATGTGTGTGTTTTTATGTTAACCCTGAAAAATCATTTAACTTGTATTGCTTGTGTTCCTTGGGTCAGGCATGGATTGGCTCTTACTTGAGTGAACAGGTTTGCGAATCCTCCACACCTGCCCCATTACGCACCCTCAAGCGTGACTCCTTGCCTTGGTTTCCTGCAAGTACTGGAATCTTATCCCTAATTCCCATTTTCATCTCACAAAGCAGGAAGGAGAACTGGCAGGAGTCTTTCTGAATATACGTAGTGTTTTTCATAACAGTAACCTAGAATTGCCTCTATTCCTTGTAGCTTTTCAGTGGGATGGAAGTGTATTGACCAGAGGCAGGGGTTTTAGGAACCTGAGTATGATGGCGATTATGTTCACAGTCTCGGAGCGTGTGATAAAAGGAAGTGCTGGTTTCTCCTTCACTCTATCTAGCCTAGCAACCCCTTACCTTTGCCTGTGTTCTCTCCCCAGATTCCTGAGCCTGTGCTGTCCCTCTGACCCTGTGACTTTCTTCCACCCTCTTTCCCTTCTGAGGTATTTGTGGCATTTCCAAGTCCAGCCATTTCAAATCTGCCCCAGCTGCACTTGGATTCAGATTTAAGTCACCATGGTTCTAAGAGCTTTATATGTACTAATTCACTTAATCTCCACAGCAACTCTATTATTATTCTTGTTTTACAGATTCAGAAGCTGAGGCACAGAGAGGTTAAGTAAACTTGACCAGGGTCAACCAGCTAATCAGTCAGAGCCCAGATGTGAATCTGAGCAATCTGACTCCAGAGTACATTTTAAACCACTATGTTTAGGCCACTTATATATCTTATCCATGCCAAACACTGCTTTATATATATAAAATATATAAATGTATATTATATGTTATGTAAACATACATATATAATAGATAGATATTATAAGTTAGTGTACATAAATATAATCATTTAATCCTCATGAAACCCTAGATCAAGCAAACAACCAAAAAGAAAAGATACTGAACATATGAACAACAAAATTAACAGCTTGAAGTAATGGACACATGTAGAATCCTACACCCAATATTTGAAGAAAACATAATTTGTAAGTACATAGAACACTTATAAATATTGGCCATGAAACAAGTCTTAAAAATGTTCATAGTATCCGAATCATATATACCATATTCTGTGATCAAAATACATATAAAGTGGAAATCTAAAAAAATTTTAAAAAACTCATATATTTGGGAATTTTAAAGCACATTCATAGCTTGAAAAATAAATCATAAAGAAAAGTAGAAAATATTCATAACTGGATAAGAAGTTAAATACAACATTTCAAAACTTGTGAGATGCAGCCAAAGCAGTACTTAAAGAAAAATGCATAGACTAGTCCCCACCTTGTCTGTGGTTTCATCTTCTGTGATTTCAACTGAGGTCTGAAAATATTAAATGGAAAATATTAAGTGGAAAATTCAGGATTCAATTAAATAAGTTTTACATTGCATGCCTTCTGAGCAGTGTGATGAAATCTTATGCTGACCTGCTCTGTCCTGCCTGGGATCCCCAGCCGTTGACATCGTCCACTCCTGACAGCCAATCATCATCAATATCGTCATGGCCCAATGATCCATGAGAACCGGGAGCAGATGATCCTTCTTCTGACATAGGGTCAGAAGGTCAATAGTAGCCTACCTCTACATCACAATCCCTTCATCATTCATCTCATTGCATCATGACATTTTATTATTTCATGTTATCATAAGCAGCAGCAGCAGAAGGGTGTGTACAGAACAATAAGATATTTTGAGAGATCATATTCACAAACTTTTATTACAATATATTGTTATAATTGTTCTATTTTATTATTAAGTATGGTTGTTATTCTCTTACTGTGCCTAATTTGTAAATTAAACTTTATCATAGTTTTATAGGTATAGGAAAAAAATAGTATGTATAGGGTTCAGTACTACTGGTGGTTTCAGGCATTCAATGGGAGCCTTGGACCGTATCTCCAGCAGGTAAAAGGGAACCACTATAGTCGTAAATGCTTATTTTAAGAAAAGAAGAAAGGTTAAAAATTAATAAGCTAGGCTTTCAATTTAAGAAGTCACAGAGTGAGAGAGAGTCATGGACATATACACACTACCAAACGTAAGGTAGATAGCTAGTGGGAAGCAGCCGCATGGCACAGGGATATCGGCTCGGTGCTTTGTGACCGCCTGGAGGGGTGGGATAGGGAGGGTGGGAGGGAGGGAGACGCAAGAGGGAAGAGATATGGGAACATATGTATATGTATAACTGATTCACTTTGTTATAAATCAGAAACTAACAACAACAAAAAAAGAAGTCAGGAAAAGTACAATGAGAAAGAAGCAAGGAAAATAGAGAGATAATAAATATAGGAGCATAAATGAACAAAATGGAAATCATTCTTAATTAGGATTAGTTGGCAATATTCAATATGAGACTTAAAAAATGGAAAGAGTATCTTCTAAAAAAGGTAAGGAAAAGGGCTATCCCACACATAGCTTCATGTCCAGTTCTTTCCTATTTTAAGGTCCTCAAATGGATTTTACAGAAAGGATTAGAGGATACTTGCTTTTTAAATTACATTTTTTTTCTAATTCTTCAAGTAATGCAAGGAAAATTCGAAAATATAGAACAATGTAAAGACAAGAAATATAACTCATAGTCTCATCATTTGGTGATAATTATTAACATTTAGGTATTTTCCAGTCATTTTTCTACGTATCTGAACGTTTATACACGTCTACATGTAATTGTATGCTTATTTTAAAATTTGGGTTCACACTGTGCACAAAGATTTATATACAGTTTTTACTTAAAATTGCATCATCAGCATATACTCTTTAAATACAAAATTTGGGTGGCTGTGTTAATATTTGATTTACTGATAGATATACTGTACTGAATTTGACTGTGCCCCTGTTGTTAGACATTGTTTCCAGTTCTGTGGTAGAGTCATTCAGCTGACATCTGTTCATGGTCCACTCAATGTATGGTACCATAATGAATCTAAACACAATGGAGACAGTCTTAGTGACAAACTGGTGGGGCTGACCTGCCAGAAGTTCATTTACAAGAGGACTGAGGAGCCTTTTGGAGAAAGAGGATGCTGCATATGACAAGCTTGTGGACTTGATAGAGTAATCAGATACTCTCTGGCTGGCTTTCTTCCTCATCCTTTGTTTTCCTGGCAGCAATGTCTGCGTGGCTTCATTTTTGGTTTCATAATTCAAATTTTCAAGCAAGAATAACCACCAATCTCGTTTGGACAGTGTTTCACTTTAGGCTAAATCATTGGCCACTAGAGTGACAATAGGCTGCCTATGGCTTGGGTGCCGGTCCCAGTTCTGTCAGCTAAGTCCAGGTCATGGGGGTCATGTGGTATCCAACATGGCTTGCTTTCAAGATGCTCACTTCAGCAAAGGCTGTGAACAGGGCAGCTATCTTAAAGGAGGCTATAGGTTGAGCAGGCACCAAGGAGAGAGGCATTCTCCAGACTACTGGCTACAACTGCCAGGCAGGCGTTGGTAGAGCAATGTTGACAGTGTCCATGGAGGAGGACAATGGGGAAGTGGTGGAAGTGTTAAGGCCCAATGGGTCCATGATGGAGACAGGTACTCAGCAGAGCAGCCATGAGGAGCAGAAGAGCCTGGCATGAATGTCCAACATTGAGTGTCTCCTATGTCTGCTTTGGGCTAGGCCCTACGGATGATGGAAAAATATAAAACATGACAGCTGTCCTCCAGAAGGTCATGCCAAGTATAAGTAGAAAGTTCATAAATGTTTTACTTTAAACATTTTTTTAAATAAATATTTAGTGGTAACTCTCCATGAAACAGGTATCAACTGGTCAGTGGTCACTTTCTATAACCCACTGAGCATGTCCTCAACTGCTCATTCATTTCAAGTCTACTTCTTGTAGCTCATCATACTCACCACCAGGAGTAAAAAAATAATGTCAATTAGCACAGGGAGATCAGCTTGGTGGTTTGTGACCACCTAGAGGGGTGGGATAGGGAGGGTGGGAGGGAGGGATTTGCAAGAGGGAAGAGATATGGGAACGTATGTATATGTATAACTGATTCACTTTGTTATAGAGCAGAAACTAACACACCATTGTAAAGCAATTATACTCCAATAAAGATGTTAAAAAAAATAAAAAAAAATAATGCCAAGAGCTCAATTAGATTATATAAATTTGCGTACAACATTTTGTGGCTTATCTATCTCACTGCTTTCCCCACTGAACATTGATTGAAGTGTTATTCTGTGATGTTTACAGATAGTCAAGGTTGGAAAACATTTGGAAAAAGTGTATTCCTTTAAAAGTTGGAAAAATAGCAAACCTTTTAATAGTAAAAATATGTTTTTTTAAAAAAAGTATTTTAATAGTAAAACATAATAAAGAAAACTTGGAAAATATAGACAAGTAGGAAGGGTCACCTATGACCCAAATCAACCACAGCTGACATTTTTGTGTAAATCCATCTAGATTTAGTTTTTATCCTGTATTTTGGTTATTTGGTTTTGTTTTGTTTGTTTTGGATAGTTACGCTTATACTGTAAACATAAATTTGTAATCTGCTTTTTCACATAGTACTACTCATAATCTTTAAATCATCATTTTACATAATATTACAACCAAAGTATCATGTTTTATTTAATCTTTCCCCTAAAGTTAGACTTTCTGGGTATTTCTAATTTTCCAGAATATTAAATAATTTTCAAATATATGTAGTTGCATAAAGTTTTATCTCATATTCTTATTTATTTTCATAGGATAGGTATAGAAATTGGATTTATTTGATCAAAGGGTATGAACATTTCTGAAGATCCTGACACATATAGCTTTAGAAAAAAATTCTAAATGGAAGGCACTTCCAGTGAGGACAATAAATACCAACTGGAGAAAAAAGCCATCATCTGAATATGGCCCTCAAGTCCAAACAATAGACACAAGGTAGATGACCATATCTTGATAAAGAAAAACATTCTTGTTCTTATTCAAATGATTCCAGGCTATAAAAAAAAAAAAAAGAAAGAAAGAGAAACAAAGTGAGTAAACTTGACTTGATTAATAATCCATAATCCAAGTAGCAACTTAAACTTATAGTTTATATGCAAAACATGATAGAATAGGAAAATATCTACTTGAAACTACTAGGAAAGGTATTATACATTATATGTTGTTAAGCAAGGTATAAGATGTCTCATTCGTGATTTCTCTTTACTCTGGACTTGCTGGATAGGTTTAGCAGTTCCCACCATAATTAAATTAATGTTAATATTTTAGCAGATGAAGCAGAAGTAGTTTCAATAGGATAAAGACATATTTCTCTTCTTCAAAACCACTCACTAATGACTCAATATAAAAAAGGATTATTTGAATGTAGCAGCATTCAAAAGAGAAATTATATCACTGGGATTAGGTTGTGAGCCTTCGACTATTTTACGAACAGGGACATTCTCAATAAATGGTAAGATTTCTTTGAGCTTTGAGTTATTTCTACATAGAAACATTGCTCATTTAAAACACCTGTGGTGTTTTCACCATACAACATGGAATGTGATTTTATAGTTATTCCATCGATTCAATCCATTTAGATAAGCCAACAGACACATCGGAATATTAGAAAAAATTGAGGTATTAGAGGTTGAGTAAACATGAGGGCAGTAGGAATGGAAAGAAAATGATGGAATTCTAAAATCCTTCCAACAAGATCCATTGAGTCCTGGACAGTGGGGGTAAAATGGAGGAGGTACAGGTGCCAGTGGAGTTCTGTTACCTGAATGATGACTGAATAAGTTCCACACAGTATCTTGGACAACTGAATGACTACTCTGATGAGGCAGACAATCACTTGAAGACCACTGAGAGCTATGAGAATAGAAAATAAGATGATGTTCCACTCCACTACATGTGCTGGTTCCAGGCACTGAATCCATACGCTAGAATCTGTAAGGAAACTGAGAGAGAGGAAGGAAATGGTCAACATGATGCGTGGCCAAGCCTAAAGACTTGGTCCAAGGAAGAAGGCTACAAGTTTTCATATGTTTGGGAAATTAAGATACTGATATATGATTTAAAAACAATATTATTAAATGTGAATGAATATATAAAATTATTCAGATACACAATTGAACACATAGTATGCACAGCACAGGGCTATGCTTATTATGAACATGGTGCCTGCCTCAGACAATTCTAATTCACTTAGGAGGCAAGATGCATACTGAAGAGTTCAACAGCAATGAAAGGCCTCACATGTCAATACCAAGAGAGGTAGAGATTGCCCATTTCCTAGGAGTCCAAAGTTAGCCTAGGCTATCAGGGACAGGGCTGAGCTAGCACTGGATATAAAATCACACAGGTGGTAAAAGAGCAAAGAGAGATGATGCTATTATTCTTAGACTCTGTCCCAAAGCCTTTTAGAACAATGGTTCTCAAATTTGAGCATACATCAAGATTATCTGGAAAGCTTGTGAAAATGCAGATTGCTGGGTCCCAGCCTAGAGTTTCAGATTCAGAAGGTCTGGATGGGGTGGAGACTTTGTGTTTCTATGTTCCCAGGTGATGTTGATGCTGCTGGTCTGGGGTCCACTGTGTGTTCTGCAGCTCTTAAAAAGATTGAGAGTATGAGGTGGAAAAGCAAAAGACTGAATGGTTTAATCAGTCTAGCGTAGCACAGGATTTTCAGAATTAAACCACCTCCGCGTTTAAGATAGTCTTAAAACCATGCTGAATTATCCTGTCTTTTGCCCACTTCCAGGTCAGCTATGGCCATTAGCATTTCTCCAAGAGTGACACTCTCTTTGGTGAACTAAATGGAAATTAAAAACTGGTCTTCTCAAAAAAAAAAAAAAAAAAAATCCCCCCCACAAAAACAATCAAGCCCAGTTACAGGGCAGAGCTGTTTGTAAATATCTTGTTGATAGCAAGATGTCTTTTTTCAAAACAGCAATTCAAGCAACCTTGGTGCCAGCCAAGTGGTCCTTAACTCTCTCTTTCCTCCCTTTCTTTATTTCTTATTCTCTATGCTCTGGGACATTCAGAGGCACTCTGAGAATTTCTTGGTATTGTTAATGGACCTTAGGTCTCAAGGGGTAAACAGCACTGAATATGGAGTCAGAACTCCTGGATCTGTAGGATCTGGGGCCAGGGATTTTACCTCTTTGATCTGGGCAATGGGTATAAAATATCTAACCCTAGGGTTATTGTGAATATTTGATGAGACGTATGTAAAAATGCTTTGGAACCTATAAAGCACAATACAGATGTAATTTCCTGTTATCATTTCCTTAGACCCACTTCATACACCCTCCTACTCCTAACTCAGTCTCAGATCCTTACTCTAGACTGTTCCCAGTATATACTCTGCACAGATCATCCAACACTTTAAAGCAAGATGCCTTGCAGGATTTCTCTTTTTCTCCTAGGATACGGTCCTATTTATTCTTCTTGTATCAACGGAATGAGTCATAAATTCACTATCAGGGTCTGGAAGGAATAGAGAAATTTGCCCTGATACTCATTCTCTCCACAATTTCTATACACCGTTCTAACAAAACACGTACTTCGTTATGTTATAATTCTATCTATAGCTATATCTGTATATCTAGTTCCTCACTACAGGGTGTACTGTGAGAACTCTGTTGTGATTTATGCATCTCTAAATGGCCATGTCTAAGGCCTAAGGCAGTGCCTGGGGCATTGCAAAGATCAACAAATGCTAGTTGAATGAAACTGATGCAGGATCCTCGCTGGTCACCATGCCAGTGGCTGAACTTAATGGCTGAACTTGCTGTCAACTTGGCAGATGGAAGACCATCATGTGATATAGAAGGCTATGCAAAGTAATGATTTTAATAATAAAATCTGGCATGTCGAGAATTTATTAAATCTAAGCTGTGCTTTACTTCTGTTTAATTTTCAGTTCTGTGAGGTAGGAATGATTATTATCTCCAGTTTACAGAGGCTCAGAGATATCCAGGTATTTGTCTAAGGCCATACAGTTTGTAAGTAGGAGACGGGAGACTTCAACCCAGATCTACAAGCACTGAAGCTCTGTGCTCTAAGGGCAATGTTCATTCTAAGGCTTCCATCTCAGCAGAACGTTCTGTCAAATCTGTGTGAGTTTCTAGAGGGAAGTGAACCTGTGTAATTTATCTTTGACTGTCTAGCACCTAATCCAAGGCAGGGACATAGTAGGCGCTTAATAAATATTTGTTGAATAAATGTACACATGAAGAGGTGATTTGGGCAATTTTCAGCTGATTTGTTCAACATTAACAGCTGTTCCACCTTGCATTCACCAAGCCTTGGAAACTTCTTTAGGGGCCCAGAAACTTAGCTTCCCTTCGTGGCCTCCAATTTTTCACCTCTAAACACTTTTACAGAGCTGGAATCAGGTGAATACAAATATGTAGGGCAACTTTAAAGGAGGAATGAAGAGGCATGTGGGCAGCCTGAGATTCCTGCATTGAAATTGGAGGCTTACTTGTTTTGGAGGTGGGGAAAAGTTCAGGGGCTGGTGGCATAAAGAACGACTCTTTGTACCCAGTGGGACTTTCTACATTAGGGTCCCCTTTCCTGAGCCCTTTCAATCCCAAAGGAGTGTCTCCTCCAAGTGTTCAGAAAGACCTGAAGTAATTTTCTAGGTTCTCCTGACCTGAGGGAGAGCTCTGCTCACAGCATGGGGTACCTCGTGGACACTTTAGAATAAAGGCAGCTATGGGCACAGAAGCAGTTGTGCTGTGCAGGCTGAGGTGAGCAGGTAAAACTCCAAATGGATGTGGGCTTTGAACAATAGAGCCAGCCATGGGGATTTGAGAAGAAAGTGTAACTTCCCCAGGGAATGGTACCGACACTCCCTCATTTTATTCCATTGGAATTGTCTGTGCAGTACAAGACAGGGAGAGATTGAGTAGATCTTCTTGTATCTCTGTCTGGGCCCTGCTCCCTCCCGAGCTGGTAGGGCCATGAGCCAGCACAATGCCAGTGTGAGGCATTCTGTGATCCAGGACTGGGTCCCTCAACGCTTGACTGAACTACCAGCCTTCGGAGCAAGGCTACCCCTAGGACTCTTGTTCAGTACATGCTCCATAAGCTCTTGGCTCCTTCCACAAACTCCTGCACCTACTCATGTCCCTGGATCTCACTTGGCTGCCCACCTTGCCTGGTTCTACCTCCGTGTGGCCCCTAATGGTATAGCTCCGGATAGCACCATCCAACGGCCCTGTGATTCACTCCCAGCCAAGCCCTTTCACATCTGTAACAGACTCCATGTCCAGCCTGGCCACAAAACAAGACTGACTTCCCAGAACCACCCAAGCCCCAAGCTCCAGCAATTACCAGACCCCAATAACGATGAAGCCCTGTTCTGCTGTACGGCAGAAACATGCCTTTCATTCGGAAATGTCCACGACAGCCTTAAAATAGTGAATGCATGTGACATTAAAAGACTGGAGAAAAAAAGATCTAAACAGAGTTCAGTGTAGGAACAAATTGGTCTGGACGTTAGTAAACTATTAGGAACATTTTGGACTAAGGTAGACACAGAACCGCTAAGTGATCATGGAAAATGAGTATGGGCATGCAGCCAGGTGTTTCTGACTTTCAGACCTCCTCCGAAATCAGGGAATTATTCCTTACCGTCCTGCAGTGCCTTCAAAGGCATACTCCCAGCCATCAAGGGTGCGGCAGTAAGGGCCCTGAAGAAGGCCCAGAGCAGATATGACCAGGCAGTATCCAGAGAAAGCAATTCCAAGGGCAGAAAAGATCATCGACAGCAGTGTCTAAATTAAACATAGAAGGAGGTTAGTGCCATAGAATGAGACAAGGGGATATTGTGAATAAGTGATCAGATAGGTAACTTCCCCTAGTCATCCAAGCCTACTGCAGCCTGTGTAATAACAAATGTCCACAGAAAAAAAGGAAACATTTAATCCAAACCCACTTGATCTTAAAAATAAGTTTTTAAATGATTTTTTTCTTTGGCATTCCATAGAGAAAATTAGTTAATTTACTAAATTTCTCCCCTTTTTTTCTGGAGCTTTGATATCGAAATAATGATCAACTCATACATAAATGCAATGAAAGGATGTGGTCAATCAATCTATACTTCTTTATTGAAGACATGTTATTTTCTAGGTAGGGTGGGTTGTCTAAGAATCAAAAGCTATGATCCTTGTTTTTCTCTTATGAAGATGATATTTGAATATGTTCGCACACAGGAATATGTGGGGAAATATCGTGTGTTAGCCTAGATTGTCATGTTTATACTCAAGTGAGCATGGGATTGAAGGGGAGGTGGGTATTTTCATTTGAGTAGAAAGAATGAGCAATGTTCACTGCCAGATCCATACAAGCTAAGTTGTGAGACTAAGTAGATTGATCTGATCTAAAAGGGATTCCTACAGATGCGTAGAGGGGAGAAGCTTGGCATGGTGCTAAAACTGAGAAAGCAGGGCTGGTAAGACACAATCCAGCCCTTATATCGCTTATAACATGAGTGTAACTTGGGAGATCCAGGCAGAAGGTGGCCTTGGATGCTGGATCAAGGAGACTGGACTTCATCCTTCAGAGTAAGTGGATTTTCCTCCCACAGCCTTTGATTAAAATTTTTTTTCAAATCTACAAAAAAGTTGAAAGTATAGTACCTTTTTCTTAGACTCAACTTTTGTGACTGCTACCATTTTTGCTTGCTCTCTCTCCCTCTCTCTCGGTATGTATATGTACATCGACAAACACATATATTTATTTACATTTTTGTCGCTTAACCATTTGAAAGTAGGTTGCAGACATTGGGATATCTCACCCCTAAACGCACCAGCACTTATGTCCCAAGAATAAAGATATTCTATTATTCTCCAATTGTTATTCCTTTTTTGTACAGGATCCAATGAAGGTTTAGGCACAAGTTTACATCTCTTTGGTTTCCTTTAGTCTACACTAGTCTTGCTGCCTTTTTTCTTTCAGGATATTAAATTGTTTTTAAAGAATCCCAGCCAGTTGTCTTGTAGAAAGTCCCACATTCAGGGCTTTTCTGATTGTTTCCTCACATTGGACTTGGATTAAACACTTTGACGAGAACATGTGGGGCTTCCCTGGTGGCGCAGTGGTTGAGAGTCCGCCTGCTGATGCAGGGGACATGGGTTCGTGCCCCAGTCCGGGAGGATCCCACATGCCGTGGAGCGGCTGGGCCCGTGAGCCATGGCCGCTGAGCCTGTGCGTCCGGAGCCTGTGCTCTGCAACCGGAGAGGCCACAACAGTGAGAGGCCCGTGTACCGCAAAAAAAAAAAAAAAAAAAAAAGAACATGTGATTGGCGTGGGTACATTATGGGCCTCTCACTGCTACTGATGATGCTAAATTTGATCTCTTGGTTAAAGTGGTGTCCTTCAGATCTATAAATGTCCATTTTCTACTTTGCTATTAGGAAGGCATTTGTGAGGTAATACTTTGAGACTGTGTCATATCTTGTTCCCTAAAGACATGTCAACAGGTGGATTTAGCATCTACTGATGACCCTCATGTTCACTGATCACCGATTATCACAAGAAGCGGTTGTAATGTACTGCTTCTCTAATTTTTCATTTCTCCTGCATTTGTAAGTTATCATTTTTCTGTACAGAAGAACTTCTATTTCCCGTTTCTCTCCTCTGCCCCTCTCTTTCTGTAATATTGTGGACGCATGGATTTTCTAATTCATTATGTTATAACTCATAATTGTTATTATTCCTTTCGATGCTCAAATGGTTCAAGGGAACCCTTGAACATCCTTGAACAAGGAACATCCCTTCAGGTCAATTCCTGTACCCTTCAGCATACCTCCATCATTCTTTGAACACTTTCTTGCTTCCTGGCACAAGATGTCCCAAGATCAGTTTGAATTTATGCTGCCTTAGACCTGGAATAGCTCTTTTTCTAACAAGCCATGGAATTAATTTTTGAGCAAGGAAGTGACATGAACCAATAAATGATTTTGGAAAATTACTCCGGCAGTGGTGGCACACCAGCCAGAAGTGAGAGAGCCCCCAGATAAGAATTCCATGTGGAGAAAACGTCAAGTTGTGGCAACAAAGACACACACTGGACAAAAAGACATTGAGGAGGAAATGAGTAGCTGGAGATGGGCTGAAAAAAATTCCAGAGTTTGGGACTTGAGTGAAAAGGAGACAGAAATAGGGATGCCAAGAAAAGCAGTATTGTTTGGGAGAAAATTTAATTTAGTTTAAAAAATGTCGATTTCGAGTGAGAGTAGGATGGCCAAACAGAAACATGCAGTGGCCAGTTGATAAATTCAAAAGCTGAGACCAGAAAAAGAACAAAACCCTGCAAGTTTTGGAACAAAGTTTATATCAAATTATATTTCTTTGCTTGGAGTTATTTTATAAATGTAACATCAGTACATGACCATTATGGAAAATCAGAAAAAAAGTATTTTAAAAACACAAAGAAGGAAAGAACAATTATGCTTTTTTCCTATTTGATACTAGTAATCTCATTGGCAACTTCACATATGATGGAAAGCTCTTTCAAGTTATGTTTTCATATTGATTGTTAATAGAGTTTTGCCTTGTCATGGGATGAGATAAATAGTTTTTTTTTACAGTAGATTTCTGTTAGTTATACTTTGTAAAAAATATTTACCTATTCGCTAATGTCATCTTTGAAAAAGGAAGAAGGACGTTTTCAAAAGATTGAGCTCCTTATTTACCAAATGGCCTTAAGCAGTTTGCTGGAAAGATCAGTGAAGAATTTCTCCATTTGGTGAATTTACAACCATAGCATAATATATATATATGTATGTATACATGTATAAATTACAATCTAATGAGTGGATACAATTGCACAATCGAAGTAAGCCTCAAAATAAAGTGGGAATAAGAATCTCTCTGAGTCACAGTGTCATTGTCCGTAAAACGTGGATGATGTAGATGGTTACAGTGCCCACATAATAGGGCTGTTTCAAAAATTAAAGGATACAATGCATATAAAAATTATTTGAAAAGTGAAAAGCATAATCAAAATATTATCTATTATTTCAAGTGCCCTTATTTGGCCAGTATTTGTTTTCCAGTGATAACAACCCACAGAATGTTGGCAGAAGATGCAACACCACAAAGGAATGGGGTTCAGGTCGTGCTGCTCCAAAACATGGCACCTTGGCATATTAATATCTTAAGCCGAAGGAGTTTGTGGAAATGGCAGAAGCGGGAAGTTCACTCTAACCTCCCTGGCCTTCTCACCCTTCTTCCCTGAAACAGGCCATAAAACGCCCAGGTGAAAGATACCCTCCCTGCACCTGGAGGAAGGAAGACATTCTTATTACCAGAGACTAAAATTTGGGGCCAAGAACTCTGTATAAATAAATGTTGTTTAACTAAACCTTATTTTCCTAGTTACTTCTTCACCTTTTTCTATCCCTAACCCAAATCTGTCTTGTCAATTCTTCACAAAGTTCTTATTTCTTTATCTAAAAAGTTTAGATGCTTCCTGCTCTAGTCACATCTTCAGGGTCTTCATTCTCTTGTGAAATCACACATGTACATGTAAAAATTCAATAAAATTTTTATGCTTTTCTCATGTTAACCTGTCATCAGATTAATTTTCAGACCCAACCAGGGACCCAAAGAGGGTGGAGGAAACTTTTTTTCTCCTCTACAAAATGAATCTTAGATGACCTAAATTTCCATTCCAGAGCTTCAGAAGTTACAAACTGGTGCAGACTCAAATCTGGCCTGCAAGATGTGTTTTATTTAGTTTAAATGAAAATTAATTGCCAACATTTTATAGTTGTGAAGTTTTACTTAAAACTCCATATTTCTACTTCCTATTGAAAATTGAGAATTATTGCCCAATATTGTAGTGGTAGCAATTGGCTGGACCTGAGTAGCAGCTCCCTCTCTTCCTTAAATAGAAAATTTGCTCTAATGTCTACATATTTCACTGCCATCAGCTATTTGGCATCTGGGGGCATATCAGTTAGGACCCCTATCCTAGAGCATACTTTGAAAGAACCAAGCAGAAAATCCAGGAAATCTTCTCTCCCTTCCTCCTGCTCTTTCCACTGAGATGCCAGTCATCTCATCCAATGTTGACTATGACAGTGTCCAGACTCTACGCTATTTCTAGCATCCATTTGTGCTGGAGATGCTAATAATGAGCTAAGGCAAATTGAACACATGGATTTTTATTAGATACTTAACGGTACAAACATTTCTTTTCTAGAAATTCCCTGAGTACATAGGTTAAAATTTACCTGAATCCATTGCTTCACCTAGACCATTTTGAAAGCTTTTCTGTAGTATAATACCAACAGTTACTGGGGGATGTTTGATTCAACTGGTTAAGAAAGTAGACTCACACACACACACACACACACACACACACACACACACACACACAGAAGGAGAGTATTTTGGTCTTCTAATTCTTCCCCACTAGGGGCACAATGGTGAATTAAACAACGAATTTAATCTTCCAAAAGCAACAGTCAAATAAAGTAAGCCACACCATCTTGGCCACATATTTAAATGTAATTGCACCTCGGACCAACTAAGTCAGAGTCTCTGGGGGTGGGATTCTAAGGCCAAGCTCCCAGATCATTGCAATGTGCAGACAACATGTGGAACCACTGCTGCAAAGAATGCCTCCCAGACCTCTGGCAAAGCTCCTCCTAGTTAATGAATCATATTCTCTTTGAGTCACAGGTGACTCATCTATAAAACAGGAGTAGCAATGATATAATTCATTGGGTAAATGTGAACAAACTATGAAGTGCTCTGCAAATATGAATAAATGATGATGACAGGAGGAGGGGGAGGTGGATGATGGTGGAAATACAGGAACCCAGTGCCTGTGTGTTGAGCATAGGCTTAGAAAATGTGGCTGTATTGTTCTCTCTTGACTCTATTTTAATTATCTTTAAAGTTCTAGCTTTAAAAATGTACATCATATATACCCAACTCTGAGATAAATCTAATGCTGTGTGAAAGAAGCCAGATACAGAAGACCAATACTGTATGATTCTATTTATATAAAATACAAACTAATCTATAATGACAAAAAGAGATCAACGATTATCTTTTGGGGGTGATGAAAATGTTCCATATCTTGACTATGATGCTAGTTTCATGGGCAGAGTTAACTGTCAAAACTCATGGAATTTTACACTTTTAATGGATGGCATTTATTATATGTAAATTAGTCTTCAATAAAGTTGATAAGGGAAAAAATAGACTCACAGAAACCCAGTTAGGAAAAGGTAATCTTATTTTCTAATTTCATGTATCTTTAAATATTGAATTGCTAGAAGAATATCAGTAGAACAAAAGTGGAGGAAAACGGTAGACAAAATAGATAATATTTGGAGGAGACTCTTGGGCTCTGAACTGAAAGGATGATGGAGAGGGTACAATAGTGTCAATATTTTCATGTCCCCAAGTGAGAGGAAAGAAAGCCAGAGCACACTCAACCATCCTCAAAACGCTATTGTTCTTACCATGTATTTTTTGCTGCAGTTTTCACTCTGGCAACATTTATAGTTGTTATCATTCTCCAGTACAAGAAGAATTGCTGCTACTATAAGCATCTATAGTAGGGAAGAGAAAAGATATCAGAAATGGAATACTAGTTTGCATTCATGCTCATAATCAGAGCACAGTGTTTCAGAGCATAGACTCTGGGATCAGGTAGCTCTGGGTTCAAATCCCAGTTCTGCCACTTAATAACTGTATGCACTCCAGAGTCCTTTCCTACAAAATGGTGCTGAGATCTCACCTCTTGGGGGTGTTATGAGCTATTGTACGTAAAATTTTGAATAGTGTGCTTGATTCATAACATGTGATTGATAAATGTTAGCTGTTATCATAGTTATCAGTTATCAAGAGCTAATGATTAAGGAGGGGCAAATGGTATGGACATGAGAATAGCACCCTCTGCAGCAAGCACGCACTTCTCACTGACTCAGTTGTGGAGGACAAAGGAAAACCATTCACCAGACTTTGCCATTTGCCATCCTCTTTCTATTTACTGCCCTCTGGGAATCCAGGTGAAAGGTATGGTTACTCTGAAACTAAATCTCTTAATCCAAAATAAAGTAAAATCAATTTCCCCGAGTATTCAGATCATCTTAGATTCAGATTTTCCAGTGGGTTTTGTCTGTATGAAGCCAACAAACTGGGAGAATTCAGTGTATTCTACTTCCCTTTCTTGGTATCTTAGAGAAAGGGCTCAAGTTCCGGAAAGAACATGGATTTCTTTACTATTGGGTTGGCCAAAAAGTTCGTTCAGGTACAGAAAAACCGGAACTATCTTTTTGGTCAACCCAAGATTATAGTCCTTGGTTTGGGCAGGTATGGACTGTGAATTGCTTCTGGCAAATTCTCCACCTATCCTTTCCTTCTACTGTTCAGTACTGAATCTTGTAGTTGAGTTCATTGTTATTTTACTCCTTGTAGTGAATATTTCCAGTTTCCAAATTCCTTCAGCCATCATTTATTTATCTATCCATTTAATTATTTATCTATATTCCTCTCCTTTCTCCAAAAAGGATTTGATCTTGAAAGAATATTTTTCAAGAATTCCTAGACAGTGAAAACTAGAGAATAGGTTCTTTTTACAGTTTTAAATTTTACATGGAATATAAGCAAACAGTCTTACATTCTCCTCCTTTCAACACCATTAATTAACACAATTTTAAAGAGATTCTGGTTTAACTTTAGTAATGTCTTGCAAATCTTCCACTTATTACAATTATATATTGAGAGAAACAATGACAAGATAAGCCACAATAAACCAGGTGCAGTAACTAGCCTCATTACAATATTGTTAGAAATAATTAGACCTAGATCCTAGAGTCCTGTGCCAAAGGAGAAACACAGGCATAGCCCGTGTTTAAAGAGAAACTTCTCTCCCTTTTTGTTGTAAAATATAGCTGCAATACAGAGGGCTCAAGAATAATGGAGGAAAATTACCCAAAATACCACTACTCTCACATGTTTTTAAGTATGTACTCCCACATGTGTATATTTTACATAATTTCAATCATAATGTATTCACAATTTTGTTATATCTTTTTTCACTTAATATAAAATAACATGTGCTTTCCATGTTGCTACATGTTCATAACTACAATTTTCATCCTTTATAAAGTGAATGGACCATAATCTATTTTGCCATGTCTATGCTAGGATGTTCTAGTTTTTTGCTATTATAAATAATGCTGCCACAAACATCTATGTATAAATTTCTTTCCTTATTCTGGATTATTTCCTCAGAATGTATGCTCAGGTTTAGGATTACCAAGTCAAAAGACATAAGCATTTTCATGGATCTTAATATATCATATGAAAAATGTCTCCCAAAGGCTTGCATTTATTTATAGTACCACCACCAACAGTCATTATGTACCTAGCACATAGCACCTTCAGCAGCACTGTGTATTCATATTTCAAAGTTTATTAATTTAATGTGCAAAATGACAAATAAATGAAACTGCTTTCCAACATATTTATTCAAATATTATAATAATTAAACACCCACAGAGATGTAGAGATAGATTATAATGGATTTTCTTTTTTTTTTTTTTTGCATTCTTGTTGGTATAGAAAGCTTACAGTACACAGTGTGTTTTTTTTTTTTTTAGAAATGATATGATCAGGAAAAACTTCTTTTCCTCTGAGTTGCCAACATGATTTACTCTCAGTTTGCTTTTAAAGAGCACAAAGTCGTCAGAAAAACATCCATGGATTCTTACTGTGGATACTTTGATTTAGTTTTCATCAACACCCACCCAAAGACATTGAGTAACTTGCTTTAAGGTCTCATGACACAAATGACAGAGCTTAGACTGGAACTCAAGTTTGTCTGAATCTTCAAATCTCTGCTTTTCCCACTGTCTTAATACCACTCCAAGCTAGAGAAATCCTGAGTACAGACAGAAAATCCTTTCTAGGAAAGAGCAATGCCACTGGAGATTAAATAGCATAAGTGGACACACAGCTTTCACGAGGATATGATATTTCTATAGGCCAGTGTCCCACCAACTTTCATTAGGACTAATTTCCTGCATTGCTGGAGCTACATAAGTAAGCAGCTTACTGAAAACAAAGCTACCCTCCAAGTCCTTATGGACTACTTGCCTTTTCACCCCCATCCATCTTCCAAACCCAAACCAAGGATTAGAAGAATGATTTTTCCATGATTCATCATTTTCACTAGGAACAAGTTCATGCTCAGTAAAAACTCCCCCTTCTGCAATCCCAAGTCTCCAAAGTCACACTTACCATAATACCTGAGAAACAGATTCCTTCAAAATACCAGACGTAGTTGGTGAGTTTATTGCTGGATGCATAGGAAGCTTGCCCATTGGGGAAATACAATAATATGTTTACAATTATACTCCAAAGTGCAAGAGGAATCAGCAGACTACTCAGGCAGCTTCCACATTTCCAAGACCCCATGTTACCCTGCTCAGAACCTGCAGGAGATTTCAAGAGTGTAGAATTACATCAAGCCTGTTTTTCTTCCTTACCTGTCTCCCCCCCTGCCCCCTCCCAGAGATTACCTACCACTTTCTGGGTCAGAGCCCTTCAGTTCATATTCATGAGGAGCCCAGGACTCGGACAGAACTGCAGCCTGCAATCTGTCGGTGTGGAAATAGTGGTTTACTGTTTGGAGAACAATAGACAAAGATCAACGGCTGAAAAGCTGAGCTGGTCTTCATCCTGTGCCAAAGGAATGTGGTGTTTTTACTGCTTTTTAAAATAAGTCATTTTCCTCTGGATTAGAGCACTCAAGACTGAATCCTGGGCATGTTTGCTGAAGGAAGTTGGAGGGGGGCGGCTGGAATGGAGTCTGGCAAATTTCACCCCACAGTGGACAGGGGGGTTAAAGAGAAAACTACCAAGGGATCTTATATTGGCACCGGATGTGCGTTTTGCTCAAATATTCTGACTTTACGTATCTGTCTTTTATTCAGTGTTCTTTATTGTATGCTCACTATTCACCAAGCACTGTTTAAACTGCAGGGGGCACAAAAAGGACAAAGAAAGGGAAAGACTGGTGAGTTAGGAAAACAAGACATCACAGTTGATGAGTTTATTGTTATAAGACTGGTACTGCTTTCCTCTAAAGAGTTCACATCTATTATCTCTACCTCGCAATAAAATAATAACAGGAATAAATTCATATCTCTTACTGCCTAGGAAAAAGAGGTAAAAGAATTTGGGTAATTTGATTAAGACTTTATGAGTAATAAGTTTGAAGTGAATTTAGGAATTCTCCCTTCCAAATTATTATTATTTTTTAAACATCTTTATTGGAGTATAATTGCTTTACAATGGTGTGTTAGTTTCTGCTTTATAACAAAGTGAATCAGCTATACATATACATATATCCCCATATCTCTTCCCTCTTGCGTCTCCCTCCCTCCCACCCTCCGTATCCCACTCCTCTAGGTGGTCACAAAGCACCGAGCTGATCTCCCTGTGCTATGTGGCTGCTTCCCACTAGCTATCTATTTTACGTTTGGTAGTGTATATAAGTCCATGCCACTCTCTCACTTTGTCCCAGCTTCCCCCTCCCCGTGTCCTCAAGTCCACTCTCTACTCCTTTCCAAGTTATTGCCCTAAATTTAAAGAGCTACAGATCCCTGTAGTTCTGATGACATAAGGAGATTATGGGAAGGAATCTTGGCACTAATATGTTAAAGATAATGTAGACAGTGGTGTAAAGAATTCAAGGGTTGGAAAGCAACTATACTCCAATAAAAATTAATTAAAAAAAAAAAAAGAATTCAAGGGTTGGGAATTCCCCAGCGTTCCAGTGGTTAGGACTCTGTGATTTCACTACCGAGGGCCCGGGTTCAGTCCCTGGTTGGGAACTAAGATCCCACAAGCTGCGTGCCACAGCCAAAAATGAAACAAAACAAAACAAAAGGATTCAAGGGCTGCCTGACCTCATTGCCACTTTCTGCTGGCAACCTCAGAACCCTGCTTAACTTGACTTTCTCAGGTCTCAACTTCCTAAGTTGTGAAACGGGGATTAAAAAACAGTACCTTCCCCACAAAGATAATGTGTGGGTTAACAGGATTATGTGTGCAAAACACAGTATCAGGTGATAGAGAAGGAGCAGGCAGTAAATGGGAGCCGTCATTAATAATAAAAAAGCAGTTATAGGAACATGATGGTCAAAATGGTACAGAGATCAGAAGTAAAGTCTGCTTATTTATTCCTCTCAATACCCAAAGAGTTTTGTATCATGAACCCTGAAAATCTTAATCCTAGAAGTATTTTTTTAATAAATTTATTTATTTACTTATTTATTTTGACTGTGTTGGGTCTTCGTTTCTGTGAGAGGGCTTTCTCTAGTTGCGGCAAGCGGGGGCCACTCTTCATCGCGGTGCGTGGGCCTCTCACTGTCGCGGCCTCTCTTGTCGAGGAGCACAGGCTCCAGACGCGCAGGCTCAGTAGTTGTGGCTCACGGGCCTAGTTGCTCCGCGGCATGTGGGATCTTCCCAGACCAGGGCTCGAACCCGTGTCCCCTGCATTGGCAGGCAGATTCTCAACCACTTCGCCACCAGGGAAGCCCCGGAAGTATTTATATTTAATTTGTATTATCCTCCAGAAAGTATTAACACTCCATAACATAACTGCTTTTAATTCAAGAGAATAAAAATTTATTTTTACATGAATACTTTAAAATTGTATTATACTTATATTTTTTAAAAAATGGAGCTACTTGGAGCCACATTGGGATTCAAATAAAACAAACTAGAAACTAGTAGTCAAACTATGGTGGGTTCCAAAGAGGTTTCGTGGCACCCCCTAATGGATGTGATTTTTTTTTCTTCCTGTAGTGTTTTTAGCAAAGTGCATCAACAAAGTCTGGTCACTAGATTCCGTACCCCCTCCCCCCAGGGACATAGAAGCAACCTAAAATCACATTTACTAGAGCTTTGGGGATGATGGGGAGAGCAACAACGTCTTTGGTTGAATATTTATTGAGTACCTGCTATGTGTCAGGCACTGTTCTAAGGGTTGGGAAGAGAGATCAGTGAACAAGAAAGTCCAAAATCCTTGCCCTCATGCAGCTTACATTCTACCATAGTGGAGACTAACAATAAAAAATATGTATAAGTAACACATATAACTTATCAGGTAGTGGTAAGTGTGGCTAAAATAAGTCAAGGAAGCACAAGCAAGAGTGCCAGAGAATGGGGCTGGGGATGTCATTTCTGATGGGGTGGTCAGGGAAGATCTTGCTGAGAAGGTGACATGAGCAAAGAGCTGAAGGAAGCAGAGGGTGTGAGCCCTGTAGAGAACTTGGGGCAAAGCACTGTAGGCAGAGAAAATAGCAAGTGTGCAAAAGCACTGAGGTAGAATGATCCCCAGTGAGGAGACTACTGTTACTGCAGCCAAGAGAGGGAGGGGAAGAGCAGTAATATCTGAGATTAGTTTTGAGTAGAAAAATGACACGTTAAAAGGCTCACTCTGGCTGTGGTGTTGTGATTAGGCTGTGAAGGGTATGGGTGAAAGAAAGGAGATGAAGCCATTTCACCAATCCAGGCTTCCCATGGGAGATAGTGGCTCAGACCTTGACAGTAGTAGCAGAGATGGTGAGAAAAGGCTGGATTCTGTCTATATTTTGAAGATAGAGCCAACAGTATGTGGTGACAGCTTGAATGGAAGAGAAAGAGAGGAGTCAAAGATGGCCACGTGGTTTGGGGCCTGGGCAACGGGAAGAATGAAGTTGTCATTTACTGAAATGAGCAAAACAGCAGGTTGAGCAGGGTTGGAAGGGGAGGATGAGGTGGTCAGTTTCAGACATACCTAGTTCTGAGACACTTATTAGAAATCCAAGAGGAGATGCCAATTAGGCTGTTGGATACACAAATATGAAGTTCAGGGAAGAGGTCTGGGATGGAGTATGTGAGAGTTGTCAGTGTATACATGGTATTTAAAGACATGAAACACTATGCACGAATGAGTGTAGTTAGGAAAGAGACCCAAGGACTAGGTCCTGGGAAGTCCAGTGAATTGAGTTTGGGGACAAGAGGGGGAGTCAGCGAAGGAGACTGAGAAGTGAACAGTGAGTTAGAAGAATGAAGAGCTTATCCTGGAAGTCGAGTTCCTAGTTGAGAAAGAAGTGATCAATTAGAGTTAAGGCTGCCTATAGAGCGAGTAATGTGGGAGGACTGAGAAATGGCTACTGGACTTAGCAATGTGGAGGTCATCAATGAGCTTGATAGGATGACCTTTAGTGGTGGGACAGACATGAGTCTAACTGGAATGTGTTCATGAGAGAATGAGAAAAGAGGAATTGGATACAGAGAGAAGAGGTAACACTTTTGGAGAGTTTAGCTGGAGGGAAAGTGGGAGTCCAGGGAAAAAGTTTAAAGGAAAAAATTATAGCACATTCCTATACTGATGGGAATATTCTTGTTGAGGGTTGGGGAGGGGAGGGGAGTGGAAGAGAGAAACTGGGGAGAATTGCTAGAGCTGTGTTCTTGGGTAAACGGGAAGCAGTGGGAATGTGTGCACAGATGGAGGAGATGGCCTGAGCTAGCAGCCTGGGCAGCTCTGTCTTAGGAACAGAAGGAAGACAGAGCATAAGGAATTGGAGGTGTGGGAACTTCTGATTGCTTCTGCTTTCTCAGTTAAAACCAGAAGCAGGCTTATCAGCTGAGAATGAAGACGGAGAGAGGATGTTACAGGTTTGGAGGGAGAGGAGAAGGCGTGAAACAGTTGCCTAGGAAAGCAGGATGGTGAACGGTCTAGAGAGATGGGGCAGATGCTGGCAGGCACTGAGGCCCTCTTGAGGTCATGAATTTATAGTGAGACTAGGCAGCATGGTCAAGTGCTTTTCCCAGTGCAGTTCAACTGCAGAGGTGTGGGCAGAGAGTAGTAAGAAAGCTGGAATCAACCAGGATTGGGAGTTTGCCAGGCAAGTATCATAAACAGAGGGAAGGGGACAAAGGAATCAAGAATATATATAAGAGTGATTATAGTGATGGACTGTGGAAGGAAGAAGGAGGGAAGTAAGGACAAAAGAATATGAGGGACAGTAAAAAAGGGGTTGGATTTGTAGATTGTGTGTCCCAGTGTGGTTGAAGAATTACTGGTTTTGAGTAGCAGAGAGATCAAGAGCTGGAAAGATGCAGATAAGAACACATATATATATATAATATATATAAAACTGAGTCACTTTGCTATACAGCAGAAATCAACACAACATTGTAAATCAACTATACTTCAATTAAAAAATGGAAACAAAAGAGATCTGGAAAGATAGAAGGCAGTGACTGGGAAGAAGGGATGCTGGAATTAGAGATTAAGATGTTTCAGTAATTGGTGGAGACAATCTAGAGGTATATTTTGGGCTGAATTTTGCTCCCTTGAAATTCATATGTTGATGCCACATAACCTCAGAATGTGACTATATTTGGCGAGAGGGCCTTAGCTCGAACAAGGCTGGTAGAGTGGGCCCTAATCCGGTCTGACTGATGTTCTTGTAAGAAGAAGAAATTTGAACACACAGAGAGATACCAGAGGTGCCTGTGCACAGAGGCATAGGAGGACACAGCGAGAGGACAGCCATCTGCAAGCCAAGGAGAGAGTTCTCAGGAGAAACCAAACCTGCCAACATCTTGATCTTGGACTTCTAGGTTCCATCGATGTGAGAAAACACATTTCTGTTGATTAAGTCACCTATTCTGTGGTATTTTGTCATGTCA